ATACAATTTGCTCCCTACAGCCCAAAACCCAAAAAACAACTAACTTTTCCTTACAAAAAGAAGTGCCAAATCAAAGAAAGAACTAGGATGTCTATTTCTAAACAAAGGGTGAACTGCCAACCAAGAATGAGCCATCCCCAGAATTTTACGTAGGATTTCTTCCTTTGAAGTCTGAATCCCTTCAAACAGTCTCCTGTTTCTTTCACTCCACACAGCCCATAACACTGCTGAAGGAAGTATGCTCCATGCTACCTTTCCAGCTCTACTTAAACCTTCTAGATGCCATGCCTCAATGAGACCCTTCACTTCAGCTGGGAAGCACCATTTTACATCAAACACGCCTACTATCCTTAAACCTTAACCAGATCCAATGAGTAAATTCACATTGAATCTTTAAGTGACCAGAAGACTCCACAATACCATTGCATAAGAGGCAATCCAAATCTGCCACCTGTAGACCTCCTCTGACTAGATTCTGCTTTGTTAGGATCTTTTCCAGCACTGCTGGCCAGACAAAGAAGGCCACAAAGAAGAACAACCTTCTACCACCACATGCTCTACATCTACAAAGAATCCATTATTTGCAGATGAAAATAATGTGGCCTGGAGACCTTTAGACTCCACCCATCTTCTTACCTTAGAAATGTCATTTATCGACATCCCCAAATTGATGGTTCGTTTATTAACAGTGGAGGGTGCACTCTGCAGGTGGCCGTGGAAGGCACTGAATATCTACTAGAGTGTCCTTTTAGAAGAGTAGTTACCTCCTCTCATCATCAACCCAGATGGAGTGACAATAGAGGGATTTCAGTTAGGGAGGGTGAGTCATCTAATGGACTTAGACCAACATTTGTGCTCTGTTGGATAATGGGTAGCACAATGATGTTGTTCAGAGACCGACGGCTTGTTTGTTCCCTAATTGGTGTATTCCCAAAGTTCTCTGAAGAAGGAGAAAGAAGCAGCCCTAGGGTTGTATTGTGGATGGGGAGATGAAAGTGTGATGGAACATGGGATGGTCCAACTGATCACCATCACTAAGTCTGTGACTGTGGCCGTCTGAGCTTCTCCTCAAGCAGTGGGCAATTTGGTTTCAGTATTTTTCAAATTCAAATTTGAACATGAATCAGTTCCATGGGAGGGTAATGTCAGCATGGGCCTTTTTCAAATTCAAATTTGAATATGAATCTTTGATTTGGCCTCTTCAATGGATCAAGTGGTGGAGCAGGAGGTCCAGGTGTCCAAAAAGCTTGGGCTGTTCTTTTTGGTTGATTTGAACCGGAGAAGCATGCAAAGGGTTGTTCTAGACTACTAGAGCTTGAAGAACAAAATCAAAGATCTAAGAAAGAGGGGTCATCAGAGATACTGCTGCGAAAAAAGCTTTGAAGGATTGGGGTTAGCATCTGATGGTGTGGAGATCTCTGAGGTTATTAGTGGAGGTGATAAGTCTAAAAAAGTTTTGAATCTCCACAAAGATGTGGTACTGTCACCAAAGGAAGTAGGTGGCCACTCTCAAAGCACTAGAGGTCATGGTAGTGGGGGAGGAAATGGCTGTTTACATTTTGCATAGTAGTCTGTTTATTCTGTCTTGGCTTGCTTGATGCAATTTTTGTCACTGGCATTGCTTCTGGGGTTTTTATGTCATTGTTTTTGGCAGTAGGACCTGCTTGGGCCACAACACCTGTATATATATTTAATTATATTTCTCTTTACTATAAAAAAATGTTTAGATGAGAAAGAATCAGAAGAGAGAGGGTAGCAATTGCATTTAGCTAATAAAAAAAAGAGAGAGAAAGAAAAACAGATCAGGAAAGGAAGCATACTTGGCATCCATCGGAGAGATCAAATTATGGCAAAAAAATTCAAACACAAATACACACACTGACAACACTGACACAGAAGCAGGTCAACTCATAAGAGATACCCTACTAGGCAAAGGAGTTGGTCGGCTCATTAAAGCCCTTCTGCCTCAACCCACTCACCTAAACACCTAGGCAAGCATGCACCTGCCTCTAACTACATTGGAAACAATAACGACAATGAGGTCCCTGATTATGAAGATATTCACTAAACAATCATTTAGAGAGGCTCTCAGTTGGACAGATGGCCAGTACATGGAGACAGTTCCATACAAGATAGAGTATTAGGGGGCCTGCCATCCAATAACAATAAAGGGTACCTCTAAGTACTAACTATTAGAATAAAATTACCGGATAGATGTTGTGGTTATTATAATTTTTATCATTTAAGTGGCATCACTGATCTTGCACCTTGCAGATTATTATTCATCTTTCTCATGGTTCAAAGTATCGATACGAAAGGCCTGTCTCATTCCAAAGGGTCACCAAAACACCTATTTTTAAGAATTTGAAATTTTAATGTCTTTAAATGTTAAAGATTGATGCCATAAAACCCTTGTAAAAACATGAAACCAAAAAAAAAATAAAAAAAAAGAAGAGTATCAGTCACCCAAAACGCCCAATACGCATATTCAGGCATATTGAGTGTCTCGATACTTTGACTTTGATCTTTCTTTTACTGTTTCACCATGCTATTATGACATGGAGAAACTTATTTCTATATTTTTCATTATCTGATCTATCCTTAAAATTCTAATCAAACTTGCTTCCAGTTTTCTCTCTTTGGGAATTATTCATTTTGGCATTGGATAGAACAGCTTATGGTTCAAAGTATCGATACAATACGCCCAATCATAGTTTTCAAGGCACCAAGGTGGGGCTAGGCAACAAGGGGGTGTCTTGTTGCCTAGTCGCCTAGGCGATGGATTTTTTTTTTAAGTAAAAATCACATATCCTAGGGTAGTTCCCTAGGTTCCATAACCAACTTTCTTTAATAACTATCCATAATTTTCATAAGAAGATTATAAACTTCATGTTTAAGTCTAGAAAATCAACATACTTATGAGAAGAAAAAGAAGAAAGGAAAGAAAATTCAAAAAATATAGGGGCTGAACCCCTATTTTTGTTATAGGAAGAAGAAGAAGAAGAAGAAGAAGAAGAAACGTGTTGATTAGACAAAATTTTAAGTTCTTCCCTTATTGGTTCATATTTTGAAGTCATTGTGTTGATTAAACCCTAACAAATAAGAAAATAATAAAAACAAATTAGTTTATAAACACAAAAAATGATATTTTTCTTTAATAATGCTTATTTTATAATTATAATCTCAAAAAATAACAATATAAAAGTATTTTATTACACAGTATGCAAAACTGCTTGGCGACTGGGTGAGGCGAGCCTCCAAGGGCGCCTTGTCGCCTAGGCGTCGCCTTGACAACTATGCGCCCAATACCCAGGTGTATTGTATTGTTGCAAAGGGTCACCAAAACACCTATTTCTAAGAATTTAAAATTTTTAATGTTTTTAAACATTAAAGATAGATGTCACAAAACCCCTGTAAAAATATGAATTAAAAAAATAAAAAAAAAAGAGTATAGGTCACCCAAAATGCCTGATACACATGTTCAGGTATATTAGGTGTATTGATACTTTGAACCTTGGAACAGTTTATTTTGCCTTGAAAGTTGTAACCAATTTGCAGCATAGTTTCAGACAATGAAACTGAAATACAATGCAGGTGAAGGGGGCACATATTTTTTGGCATTGAGAGTCTGGAGGTTCAAAACTCAAAATCCATCACAGTAGCATTGTATCACTAAAATCTATTTTAATTCATGCTTTATCCTCAAAAGGATTTCTAGTTTTGGATTAAGATGTGTATTAAAACCACTTGATTTTATATAATGTACTGGTTCTGAAATCAATGGTCACATGAAGCATTTCAATCACACCATGAAAGTGCAAATGCTAGCTGTGCTTCCTGACATTTCCATGATATGCTACTTCTCTTTTGTTGGAATTCTCTCAGATGGTCAGAAGCTTAAAAATAGTCACCATCATTTTTCAGGAATGCAGTTAATGTGGTATTTTTAATTTTAATGAATTCACTTCAATTATTGATCACAAAATCATACAGATATCAGTTTCTGACATGGAGATTCCTGTAAATGATAATTGTAAAAGTAACATCATGGAAAAGCGAATACAAGTCACAGGTAATATGAGAGTGGCCACTTCATGCTAAAATGCCATAATTTAGGTCCCTATCTACTTCATCCCTTCTAAGACCCTGGATAGCCAGGACCAGCATTGCACAATGGCCTGATCTATCAAATTTTCCCCCTTAGTTTTATCTGAAGTTGCTTTCAGAAGCTTTTGCATGCATAGTATCTATGAAGTTGTATATGATACCTTCTAGAAATTTTTTTCTTTGTCCTATTACATCATTCATATTGATATGTACATTATTTTTGATATACACCTTTCTTACTAATATTTTCTTCTATTTTGTCTGTTAGTTATTTAGGCAATATTTGCAAGTGAAGAGGTTCACGATATTGTTCCTCTTGCTGCGCAATTTTAATTCTTGGACAAGGTGAAATGTGGCTTTGTTTCCTCTGCTTTTTTCTCTCTATTGCAACTTCACTGAATTTTTCAGAGCATTTTTCATTTGTATAATCAATTTTTTCTAATCTTCAAGTAGAGGCCTACAAATGGAATACAATAAAATAAATCTCCCTTAAAAGGATTGATACCTATGTCTTTTATCAACTGCAACCCAGAAATAGAAAATGCAGCAAATACTACCAGCTGTACTGTGGAACAGAAAGGACTCAACCTGAACTGTCCAGCTCAGCTATGGGCCTATGGCTAAGCTGTAAGCCAATGAATTGGTTAATTTCTGAATCCAGCTGAACCAGATGTTCAAGTTGTCAGCCAATGATCTGGATTTCTGAACATTGTTTTAAAAGGTATGCTTCAAGTGTGTTAGGCTCACAAGCAAGGGTCATTATTTTTTCTTTGCAAGGCTCATACTATCAAGCATACATTATCTGAATCCAGGTGCACCTCACTTGGCTTGTTGCTTTTTTTTTGTTTTTTTTTTTTTTTGATGAATAACCCTTGATTTTGATATTAAGTAGGCAATTTACTATGAATGTACAAATGCACAACCTTTGCGTTAGTGATTTGATGCTTCAACCAATTAAGCTAATGTAGAAGGCTTTTTGAAATATTCCGTTTCTTTCAGAATTTAGATTTGCACATTCTTGTCTATTAAGTTTTTCTTTTGATTTCTTTTTCAAAAGTAATGTCTCACTTTATTGGGCGCATGCCTTGCCTTGCACCTTAGGCTCTAGGAACCCCTTGCACTTTAGCTTTACTTCTCATGGCACAATAACCAAGGTCCAATCCCACCCTCTCTTATCTACATGATTGCCAACTGCACTAATCTCTCTCTAGTCAAGGAAAAAAAACTAGAGAGTGCATCAGCATAAGGTCATAATGCCATGATCTCTGCAGTAGTGAAGTTTTATAACAGCTGGAGCCAGAGAACATATGACTAATCACGTCCTCTATCTCTTAAATCTCCTCCACATCATGGGTTGCCTTGGTTACTAAGAGATCATCCATTGAAGTTCAATTTCACTGCATCTTATTCTGGTGGAAACCAACTCTGATGTACCCATCTGCTGAGGATCTAGAAGCATGATATGAAACCCTGATAATGTTATCCATCATGTTGTCCTTAAACTCCTCCCTATTGCACATCGCGATGCACCAGACTTTGATGAGGTCTATCCGCTTTTCATGCTGACATTCTTTTGTTGAGAAAGACCATCTCATTCCTTTCCTCCTGAACTGTCCATGGTACAACAGCTCTTAGACATTGCAGAGAGGCTCAGTGACTTTGTATTATATCATTGAATCAGGGTATGTTTACTTTGTTTCTGTTTTGTATTATAACACCATTCCAATGGGAAGGGCTTGGTCTTGATCTTGCTTGAAAATGGGAACCTTTCAAGATTCAAGTTATTCAGACCAATTCCTATGAGATTGAATTCTAAAATGTTAAAATCTTGCATTGTTTTTACTTGGTCATTTCTGTATTCATAATTTCATTCTATATATGGTTTCCATTTTGTGTTTAATGTTTTGTAAATTTTATGGAAGAGAATTGCATGTGTTTCTCCCCTCGTATTCCCTGTTTGACCAGTTATTTTAGACCTGTCAAACCATCTCAACTTTCAAAAATTACATGTCACGTTCTGCCCAACTTGCTTCCAAGCATCCAAGAATTTAAAACTAGATAAAGAAAAACTCATTATTCATAGGCTCAAGAAATGACATTAGATTGCAAGTTGCCTTTGGAAGATAAAGTTCCTGCAAATAACTATGTTCACAGAGGTCAGAAGCAGCTTTAGTTGCTTTTATGCTACACTAAAATATATTGATTCAATTACTATGAAGCATTAAAGCTTATTTTCTCCTTTTTGGCATCCATTGGATTTTTTTTTTTTTGATGAATAATCCATTGGATTTAATTTGTTCATGGATTGTAATTGCCTATAGAAAGGTTTAATTCAAGCCATTGATTTAGTGGCATTGGGGAATGACTCCAATTGTTTAAATAGAAGAGATGAAAATCTCTTGTTTTTCGTGACAAAATTTTCACCCTCTTTCATGATATTAGATATAAGATAATAAGGCTTCTATGTCTCACTTAATCTGTTTTAACACAGTGTTTTCTTGTCAGAGAAAAAGCTGGCTAAATCCCCTCTTCTGCATGCCTTGTTTCTTAAGAAAAGTTACAGCCTCTCTTTGATTGCATTGTGCTCTGCTCGAGTCAACAGTTTAGTACAGCGGGCATTTATCCTGGCACGGTGAGTGTGCACTGCAGTAGATTAGACCTTTCAATTGGATATCTTGAATTATTGTCTCTCATCGAGTTGACGCCAGAACAGAACTTAGGTATAAATCCAATAATATGTTTGAAGGACAAATGCTTCTGCAGTGTGATGATCATTATGACACCTAGTGATAAAATCTGTCTGGTTTCATGACTTATGACAGCCTTGTTGCATTTGTGTCAAGGTGATAAAAAAAATGCTCTTTCCCTTTCTGTTCTTGTTACCACCCTTGATGATGATATTGATGATGGGTGTCTGACTGTTGTAAAATTTTTTCTCTTATTTAATTTATTTATTTTGGGCGAGGGGGTAATTGAATAATCTGTCACTGCTATACTAAGTTGGTTACATCCATCACCCCCTTTTGAAGGGTCCATTTCTCCTGTACCTGTGAACAAGTAACGCTTAAAACAGCTCCAGATTCTACCAAGGAGATTCTGAAGCCAAATTGCCAATTACATACTTGAATATTGCAAGGCTAAAAATTACCCAGCCAGGTAGCACGTCCTTCTGTTTTCTCAACTTCTTGTTGACTTCCATCAGAAATGACAGATTGGATGTTTTCCAATACCACTGTACCATATGAGGTACCTCTGGCAATTAGAGAATCTTAGAGTTGTATCGAAACAGATGAACAGATGCTTTTGATCTCACATATTTTTAACGTCTTTGATGCTTGGATGGGAGAAAACTACAGTTTCACAGTGGAAATGTGGAATCTGTTACTTGTTTGGGTTGGAGACATTGTTCTTATCTGATTGCTAGAAAAGGTTTATATTTGACACATCAGCTACTTCCTGTATGAGATATTTGAGTCCATTAGGTCCGGCTCCCGAGATGTGAGGGATAATACTCATCTCCTACTTGTATTTCTATCAATGAGCTGTTGAGAATTTGTAACCGTATAACACAGGATGTGCTAGAGAGTTCTTGGAGAATGGGAAGGAGGATGTGTCCTAGAAATCTAGTAGAAAGGCTCAGGGTGTTATTTTGGCCATCTTATATGATACATTTGCACCATAGATTGCGTTTGTTTCTTAATGGGCATCAATTTTTTCAGGTTAAAATATTTTGACTATTATATCTGCCCCTTCAACAGAGAAAACAGTTTCTGCCCCCTTTCAATTTTCCTTATATAAATGTTAATGAAAACAAACGTAGTAGCCTAACAATGTTTCAGCCTGAAAAATTGTATTGCCCCATTTTGCCTATGGAGTAAAATTTACTTGAGAATGAACTACAAGAGGACAGTATACAAGTGGTAATGCTTTGAATAAGGACAGTCAGTATACAAGTGGGACTGGGAATAGGCTTTTGTCAAGCACTTAACTTAAGAAGCAATAGATGCATCATACATACAGTTAACATGGATGAAAACAGGCAAAATGGGCACCGACAGGCTTAAAATTGAAAGAGGGCCCTGCCAATTTTGGATTGGACGACGAAATCGGCCCAAGTTGATTACATGTGAAAACTTATAAGAAGTGAAACGGCTATAGAAATTTGGATTCGTTTCATAGGCAACTTTTGGTTCTTCTGTGTGACCCACAAGGGTCCCACATGTTCACCATCCCACTGATCCCTTCATGTGCAAGTTTCTAAATTCCTAGCTGAATGCCAAAGAAGAATCCCTTCTCCCTGTCCCTGGCTTTCTCTGAAAAAATCCGAATTTAAACGATTAGCATTATTAGTAAATAGTAGGGCCCATTTACTAAAACACTCCAAATAGTTTCATGGATTTACTAAAACCTATCCTACATTTTGACTTTTAAACACCCCTATAGTTTGCAATTGATTTATTAAATTGACCTTCCATTAGATGAAAGTGGAAAATAACAATTTTGACCCCAATGTTCATTTGAATAAATTTAATCAAAAGAAAATAAAAAAAAATATCATCTTTGACCCAAATAAGGTATGTGCAACCATTCAATTTGGCTCTGTTTGGTCAATTTTGTTTTCTGTATGAAGTGTTAAGGGTACTTTTGGAATAAATAATCATGGACCCATGCCCTTGAACGTATTCCACTCAGTTTAGGTGATTATGTTACTATTTTCAGATGGTAAAACAAGCACTTCTTGATGAAAAGTCGATTAAGTAAGTAGGTCACAAATTATAGGGTGTGTTTTAGTAAAATGAAAACTATAGGGTAGGTTTAAGTAAATTTGTGAAACATGGGGGTATTCTAATAAATGACCCTAAATATAAATAATAAATGGAAGCGATACATGGTGGGTGAACTAGTGTTAAAGAAGAACATGAGCCAAGAATTGTCTCTTGCATAACCTGACTTACTCTTCTCTATCCTTCAAAATTATTGAGCATGATCTTGGTTTATTCAAATTTGACCCAATTAAAGTTCATCCTCTTTTACTTTCAAGGGTCGATTCATCTTTGTTTCAGTTTTCTATTCCCCATGTTTTGTTGGTTTGCATTGGGGATGAAGTAAAATAAAATTTCAAAGTAAAACAAAACCCAAAGTCAAAGTGAACCAGAATGTATATTTTTCTCATTTGCACTCTCATGCATTTGTACTAGTACAAATCAACAATTTTATACCGAATGACTTCCGGACCCAGGCCGATCCTTTTGTATGGTATGACCATCAAGTTCATGTGCATCCAAGAAATTTCATTCATACCTGGCACTGTAATGGGTCATAGACTCACAACATACAATCAGAATTGATTCAACCATGGTTTACAAAACCAGACTGGACCGGACGGTTGGACCAGAAAAATTGGGAATTGGTCAGGTGACCAGTTCCATTTTACCCTAGAATCGTTATTTTCCCAAAAATCATTGATTTAGTCAGTAAACCGCTGATTCGGGCGTTTGAACTGTTCAATGGTTTGGCTGTTTTTTATTTTTTATTTTTTTATTTTTTTGTCAAAACGGGCCATCCATTAAATTCGAACAGTTGGACCATTCAACCCAAGAACCAGACCGGTTCTTTGTCCGATTCGATTTTAAAAACCTTAGATTTAACCCTTCCCATCTGGGTCCTAGTCCGATCCATACACATCGTATATGCTAGAATAACTGCCATCCTAATCCATCAAGGCCCCATCATCATCAATACAACCGTCAATGTTCTTCCTTCCCTCCCATTAAGCCTCTATTAAGTGTTCCAAATTGGTAACCCATCTCCAAACAACGACAATCCCATTAAATTTCCAGTATTAGAGGATCTTGATTCAATTAATGTGTAGGTGCACGTGTTCCCTCTGAAAGTAGATTGGGACTCTGGGATGTAAGTGACATCTGATCTGACAGATAATCCAAAGCAATTTCATAAGAAAAAAAAAGACAGATAAACTACAGCAACACAGCACATGCAAAAATCCCTGTTGAACCATTCCAATCAAATCAATGGAAATTAGAAGGTGACCCATTTCAATCTTTGATATTGTGGCCAAGAGTTAAAAAAGCTGAGAATCTCAAAACAACCAGACTTCTGAGGCTCAGACCGGGTAGGACAATTGAACCGGTGACAGTTGAGTTTTCCAGGTCTCAATTACATTTGACTATTCTTATGGCCTGGACGATGATCTAAGCTACCGGTTAAGGTTAACCAGTGAAAAAAACCATGACCCAGTGAGCTTTGCAGTTTCCTGTGTGCTTCCAGTCTGACGATATTGACCATAACAGTTTCTGGTGTACCCATCGAATCCTTGTGCGAGACCTCTAATGGGAATTCCAGTAAGGAGTAAGGAGAGCCCGACTGTTGGGCGATCTGATGCTGAAAAGACATTTCATTAGCCATTTCTTTCTTTGGCAAATAAATAATTTGCTACAGGTTCTCAGTGATTGCTTGATATGTACTGTCTGTCCAACCGATTGAACTGGGGTTAGGCCACCTTGGTCTTTCTTACTGAATTTGCTCAGGGATTGGTTTGGTCAGTCAAGCTGCCTGTTTCTTTGTTGATTCGGTTATAATTAATTAACCACTCACGACTCATCTGGGTTGATGAAGCTGACCCCAGGGAAGAAATTGGAACTATTTGTTCATCAAAGAGCTTGATGGGGTGATGCTAGCAGGGTGAGTGTTGATGAATATGCAGCCGTCTTCCTTGAGCATGGGCCATGCTAATCTTCTCTGTATCTTTCCCACTCCAATTGACTCCAAGAAACGACATTGAGGAACAGTAACCTGTCTGGACTCCTGGATGATTGCATGAGACGAGAGCCCTAGCCTTCAAATGACTAATGCCCTCTAGCAGGTAGCCTGGTATATATTCTCTCCTAAGAATGCCCACATCACAAAAAACAAATAACAAATGCGTTCTTGAATGTTTGTTCTCTCTCTAAGCGTTGTTCTTGGAGTAGTCACTGCTGCATGAATTTGACAAAACAGCGAGCACTGCATCAATAAATAATGCCTGTACGTATTAATATATCATTTAATTCCTTCATCTCTTAAACACCAACCAACCTCATACTCATTGCATCATGGTTCATCCTACAGCTTTCAACAACCATTCAATGTATTCTTTAATTTCTTTGCTGCTTTTTATTTTCTATTGTGTGAACAATCTCTTTATGGGAGCGGTTTTTAAGCATATAAATCCAAATCCAAATGTAATTTCTTGAAGTTTGAGTTTCATCTAGGATAATGATAGATTTTGGACTAAAACCTTGACAATTTTTCAAAACTTCTTCGAATTTTAGGTTTATTTTGGGCAAAAAATTTTAGTCCAATTAATTGAAAGTATAGTATATATTTAAATAAATAAAATTTAATTTCATATCTTGGAAAAGATTGTGAAAGATATCTCATCCATAATTAGGGCTGCAAATGGTATTTGTCCAAACTTAAATTTAAATTCGATGTGACATGATGCTACCCTATCCCATAATATTTTAAACATTCACATTTTTGTCTATATCTACATAAAATTAATATTTTTCTCTTCATATATTTGGTCTGAATATTTCAAGTCATTTTACTCATGATATACAATATTCAATGTAATTATACAATTACAATCTAAATATGATAGATAAGATTCCATTTAATTTTAAATATTAATGAATCAAGTTTGGATATAGAGATATCTTATTTGCTCCAATCCCAGTTGCAAACTTATAATTTCTCAACAACCAAGGTTCACGAATTTAGGGTCAGGTAAAATAGGAGGGGATCTAATGATTATACATAGGGCTATTAGTTTTTTTTGGATTTAGAGAGGGGGGGAAGTTGGTATTCCTATTGACCAATATATCCATATTCTGTTTTTAGATTTATGTAGGATTTATAAAAAATTTATTTTTTCTGTGTATCACTCACCCAGTTAAGTAATACTCATCTCTCGTGTGGGTAAATAACTTTCCCACTAGGAAGAAAATTACCAATACTTAGATGATGGGACAAAATTGTCCTCTTCAATAATGACTTTTTATACCTAAAACAGTCATTGTTCTATTTACATGAGAAATAAAAGAACATGAGTAAATGCGAACAGGGCCATAAAGATATCCCCTTCCCCCGCCCCCAAAATCCCTTTAAAAAGTATTTTGTGGGTTCAAAAACCATACTTATCACATGGTAAGCTTCAATATGTTGAGATATGAACCTTGTTAAGAGTTCAAGTACTCAAGCTATAATCACTAAGGTACTTTGAGCCCATTTCACCCGTGAAGGGCAATGATGATGATGATATAAAGCTAGGCAATTTCTACAAGGATAAGATACCGAAAGAACTTTGACCAATCAAAAGCCCTGTAAATTTTGATAAATACAAGATAATTGGTTACCAGTTACCACTTCTATGATATAAGTTCAATTTTAATATGACACGATTAGAATTTCAGTAAATTAAATATAAATAGGAAAAAGCAGAGCTATCTATATCTCAAATCTCACTTAATTAAAAAAAAAATTAATACTACAAAATCATGGTCTTTTGTACATGTACATTTAATAATTGGACAGGATTCTAGAAGATTGGACCAAACAATAATATCCAAATTTGATACAGTTAATAAACAAATAATGTTGTTAAAGCTGATTCAATTGGCTAAACTGAGATCCAAATCCAACTTAAACAAATTAGATTCGTATTTGAATCCCATAAAACCGATATATTTGGAGTCCTAATTTTTACTACTGAAGGTTTGAATGGAGATGCTTTAACAAGTGCAGTAGTAACCAGTTAGTAGCACTTACTGATACTGAGGCAGCACAAAGTGATAATCTCAGCACAAAGCGAGATAACCAGTAGTGATAATCTCAGCACAAAGTGATAACCAGTAGTAACCTTCAGTAGTCCTAATTTTTACTACTGAAGGTTTGAATGGAGATGCTTTAATTTGGACTCAAATTATATAACTCCCGCTCCCATACAGATAAGATTAATAAGAACCTTTGAATTTGAAAAGAAAAAAAAAAAAAAAAGTGTGAAAAGAAAACTTGACTGATTAGAAGAAGCCAGGAGTGTCCAACCCCAGGCCTCTTGCTTCCGTGAAACAAGCAATTTTCACATAGAGAAGACAAAGTCTTACGGCCTTAATGAACCTCAACTGGAACCCACCACGTTCATAATATGGAAGGAAGGTCCCTTTGCATTCATTTTCACAATATGACAACAACCACATGACACAGCACAACAACCACACCATCTGTTCCTCTCTTTTCTCCCCGCCGGTCCGACCCACATTGAAAACAACCCAACAGAGACATCTACTTCTTCATCAACTTCATGAAAATGAAACCCGTAGCTTCAATGTATTTTGAACAGATCAATGCCAATCAACACAGACAGCATGTATATTATTTGTCCTACTGGTACCAATCAAGTCATTCATCAGAACCCATTCATTTCATTTGGACCCCATGATGTTATGACCCTCCAATCAAAATGGGGCACGCCCACAAATTGAATGGTCCTGATATATATATATTTGAGTTGGTGGGGCCTTGCCCATGTAGCAGCCTAGTGGGGTGTATGGTCAGTGATGATAATGATTGACTTTAGGTCCATATATCCTTAACACTAAGGTGGAGAAGAATTGCGAGAAGAAGGTGGGAGAAGAAGAGGAGACAAGAGAAGGTCTTCTGCTCCAATTATAGAACACCCCATGATCTCTATCATGGAACAAGCTTCTCTGGGTTCCCGGAGAAGAGATGAACCAGATTTCGGTTTAAGAGAATGGTCTCTCAGGGCTCGTATCAGTAGAGAGAACACCAATTCAAGAAGGTTTTCTGCTTCGAATATCAGAAGCTTTAGAGAGGAAGCGAGATCCTTCAGATCAAACGCAACCATCTCCAGCACTGCTTCTTCTCCTGGTTACACTTTAAGAGGTGTTGCTCTTTTAACTAATTAGCGTGGTTTTCATGATTTCATCAAATGCTTCCTTCTCTCACTGCTCTCTCAACTTGTTTGTTCCCAGATGAGATTGACCCATCTACTTACTCATTCACCACTGCTCTCAAAGGTAAGTAAGGTTAGACTTGAATGGTGAAGATGATGAGTTGTCTATTCATCTTTGTTCTTGATGAATCGGGTGGTTGCATTGTTGCAGCTTTGCAGGTGAGATCTAGTTACAGCTGGGAATGCTTATCACCAGATGGGTTTGCTTTGAACTCCAAATGGTATGAAGCAGAGAAGTATATCTCCAATCCTCTTTCAGGAGAGGTCCCAATGGAGTGTTTGTCTGCAAAAACATTAAGTGGCATATCCATTCCTCCTTCAACAGCAAGCAGAGCTTCAATGTCTGGACCTCTCGTTTGCTACTCCCATGCACGGCACATTCAGAAAAAGCCAACCATAGTAGAAGACGACCAAAATGAATCTGCAATTCAAGGTCCAAAGCAATTTTTTGCTTTTGTTTCCAACACCGTTGTCTTTCTAAAAGCTGCGTTTTCTGAATTACCTTTCTGTTTCTTAATTCCATTTCCTGGGACTGCAGAGAAGAAAGTGCAGTATTCAACTAGAGATGTTGGCACTCAAAGTACACCACCCGATCTCAGCTCAAGTAGTCCAAGCCCTACTTCAACTCCTTCAATCAAAGAGAGATCATTAAGGCGCTGTGAAGTTGAAAGTGGGGAGTCACCCAACAACTGTGGAACAAAAGTGAAGCCCGAGGAAGAGGTATGCCCATGAGAATTACAGTTATTATGAAGTTACCTTGTTAATGGTTAATGATTTTAATTTTGACTAGCTAATTAAAGGAAATATTTATATTGATTATATGCATTGAAACACAGTTATTTCTTGAATTCATTCATAGTCTTTGGGTAATTAATTTAACCTAATTATGTTCATTAAACTCATTGATGTAGGAAGATAAGAACATAATAATTCTCTTTTGTCCTTTTTCTTCTTTGGGAGGAAGGTATCAAACTACAGATTTAAGTACTTCAAAGATCAGTTAAGAGCCTGGTACAAGAGGTTCACATGCTCATCCATGTGGGCTATTCAGAAGATACCTTCAGCCTGGAGATCAACCTCTTTGTTATTTACCAACTTCCCTATTTCAATTTGTTGCAAAGGGGGGCCCTCAATATGGGCCATCCAGTGTGAAAATCAAGGTCCATTTATATGTTGGGCATTCTTGATTGTCCAATCAGGAGACCCTACACAAAACCTAGAAAGATTATGGGGCTATCAATTTGTATATTTCAGATGTTGGGCAGCAATTGGGTGGGTCATTATCACCACTGTGGCTGCACTCCCCATTGGACCTATGTTAACTCTAGATCAAAGAAGGAGCATGGCCTGATGGATTGGGCCATGGCCCATGGCCCACCAAAGAATTAACCTGATAATTGTAGATCCTGATCAACGACAACTAACAAGTGATAGTTCATCCAAAGTCGTAGATGCAATGGGGTCTGTGCATTATTTGTCAAAGGAAGGTCATGTCATATTCATTTGTCAACCAAACCAAAATCTTAGATACCATGTGGGTCCAACCCATTGGGTAAAAAGAAAAGCCCACTAAGGGTTTTGACAGAGAACACAGATTTCTTCACGGATAGCAGAAAACCAGACCTGCATTTCCACATTTATATATGAATTAATCCGCAAGTAATTGAACTTGAGAAAGCTGAAAATAAAGATATTGCATCTGACACTAACATGGGCAAGAAATGTGCAGATTGGAGCTGAGGAAAAGGTGGAGAAACAAGGGGGAACAAGAGAGGATGAAGAAGAGATAAGAACAGAGAAGAAAATGTGCAAATGCAGGCAAGGAGGATGCTTATCATGGACGAGTCTGTGGATGGGAAACAGGCAGAGAGGGAAGCACAAGCTGAGATGGCAGGTTTCGTTTGGAAAGAGGAATATATGTAAAAAGTAAGGGAGGGGCTTAAAGATAAAAATAAAAAGGAGTTGGGGAAAGAAGAAAAGATGGGAGAGATTCCCCTTTCTTTTTGGCAGAGAGAAATTAGAAGCAATCATAGAAGAGCAGTTGATGGTGTTTCTCTTTGTTTAAGTGTTGTTGTGCTTTGTTCTTGCTTTGATGCAAAGGCTGACACCTAGGGTTCACGTGCAAACAAAACTCTCTCTCTCTCTCTCTCTTACAGTTGTGGCTCTGAATAAATGTGCTCCAAAACTAGGGCTGTTTCACTAGTCAAGTACCCTAACACCAGTTTCCTAGTAAAAGGAAAAAACAAGAATAGAAAAATGCATTCATACACACATGTTGATGGATGGAATGTAATGGATAATTTTGCCAATCTGTTATAAATTGAGGGGAGTCATCAAGACCAGGGGCTCATATATCTACACACGCATAGGACTTCTACTGTTGTATATAGGAGATGGACACCACATATAACCCAAAAGCTTGAGTTATTGGGTTATAGACCACTCTTGTATATAAAATCCCTTATACATCTCATTCCTTTCTAACATGAGATTCTTTTAAACTATTTATATGTGAATCCCAACATTATGTGTATTCAAAACCCTAATCTGGGGCTAATTTTGGGAGATCTCAAAGTCTTAATGTATAGAACTTCTCTTTTTTTGGTGGTCCATACATGCATATATAGTGAAGACTTGCATTTTGATCATTTTTCATCCTAATTTTGAATGGTTAGTTTCCACATTGAGACCCATTAAATGGTGAACCTACATCCTGCAAATATGGCTGAAAGCAGAAAGAGTGCCGTTGCCAATGTAAAATTTTCTTCCTTCATTTTTGTTCAAGGCCTTTTTTTTAATTTTAGGAATGTGGTTTTGGCTTATCTAATTTTAACAATGGGAGCATTTGTCTAGTGAAAAGTCCAAGAAGCCCATATAGTAAAAGTCATTAAATTTACATATAGGAATGTATTTGTTTCTTAAAACATTCACTTTCTAATCAACATGGGGTGTTCCCCTATCACAGAAGAAGGGATGTGCTCATTCTCAAAACATTCATCCTTCTTAGTGATGACAATTTTTCCCATCCTCGACGGGGATCTAACTTCCCCAACTCGATGGGGTTGGGAATGGGGATTGTTTTGGTGGAACAGGGACAAGGATTAATAGAAATCCCCAGTCGGGGTCGAGGTCGGGGATGGAGATTTTAAGTAAATTTATTTAAAAAAAATATTGTTCTCTAAAAACATTTTGGGAATTCAAGTCCCCATGAGGAACCCATCCCCATCAGGAATCGGGGATGGAGGACAAATTTTATCCCTGTTGAGAATTGGGGACAGGGGTAGCGGTTAATAGGGATGGGGTTAATTTCAGAATTAGGGTTGGGGACGAGGAGTATGATCCCTGCCCTGAACCCGCCCTATTGCCATTCCTAATTCCTTTTGTGTTATCAAACTTTGTATTTCATCATTATCGTCACCTAAGCCTTGTCCCAACCATATGAGGTCCACCACATGAATCAATGTTTCACCATTCCGTTCTATTCAATTAATGTCATATCCATTCTTAATATTATGAGGAGTTGAATATATCCACTATCATTGCAAAGTAACCAATTGATTAAAGTTATATCAATATAAAGGGGTAATAATTTATAAGGGCATTAATGAGGAATGTAATTTTATTTTCAAAAAGGGTTTTAGGGGCCGTTCTGTTTTCGGATTTTGAGAGGGGGGGAAGTTGGTCAATGGGATCCAAGAATCCCATGTTCTATTTTCAGATTTATGTGGGGAACAGGGAAAGTTTATTTTCCTGCCCATCCCCTATGTGGGTAAATAACTTTTCCACCTAAGAGGAAAGTTGCAAACACTTGAATGGGACAAAAATGCCATTTTTAATAATGAATTTTTTATGGTTAAAATGGTTATTGCCTTATTTACATGAAAAATAAAAGAACATGAGTAAATGCACTTACCCGGATAAGTGTTGTCCAGAAAAAGCTTATCCGAATAAGTAACTTACCGAAAAATGAACGGGACCTTAATGCCAGCAAAATAATTAAAAAAATTAAAAAAGATTTGCTCCAACGAGATTGGAGCCTATGCTGCATCCTGCCAATCAAAACACACTCATATTGCCATGCTTGTGGGAAGTTTAAACTTTACATGATATTGAATGAAACTAACATGGGCGACATGGAAACTTTTGATTGACCAAATGCAGCCTAGGCTCCAACTCTCCCAACTTCACCTAAAGAAGAGTGAATAGATTTGCTCAAGAAAACGGATGTTTTTGCCACGTGACAAGGGATATAAACCGAGAAATTTGACTCATGGAAGACCCATTTGAGCTGCCACCTCAGCCACGATGTGGAAACCATGTAAAATTAATCTTCCAGTTTAGTTTTGTCAGAACACTACATGGCCCTCCACAAGCACCACTTTGCCTTAAACTCAAATAAAATCTTGTAAGATGCATGGGGCCCGGGACATAGGGAACCAACCAAAGGTTTTGGGTTCAGTGGTGCCAAATTTGGTTCGAAGGATCCCAAACAATTTGACGTCAATGATGGTTTAATTGAACTCTTTGGCTGTTTAGCAGGTTATGGAATCCATGATAAGGTTTTACATCAATAATAAATTGGAACTCATGAATTTATTATTGACGTCATTAATTCCACAGCCCGCTGAACAGCCAAAGCGTTCAGCTAATCCAAATTATACTGCATGTGCTTTTCACTTGACCTTCCTCTTTCACATTTACATGATCATTGCCCTTTAATAATTTAATTTAATTAATATGTAGTTCACCTGATGGCCCAGTAGAGATATTCACCTGCAGTTAACTTGCACAAAATCTCACGGGGTTCCCTACATGGTCCCTGAAAAGGAGAGCATGGCAGTGCCAATTTAGGGCTTTGTTTGTTTGCACTGAATAGACGTCATACCTTAATGAAGAAAACATTGGTCCAGGTGTTAAATGGGACCAATCACTTGCATCTAAGCCATTGATCTGCATCAGGATCGGTGCTTATTTTTGGTGGTTTCAGGTTCCAGGGACCATCGGAAGTGAATAGAATAGACCTAGCATGTATTGACATTGTTTTTAGTGTAGGTAGTAGGTACAATTATCCAATAAAACTGACTTACAAACGTAGGCGGTGCATATCGTACGATATTTACCGGTGGGAAAGGAGGGGATTTTTTAGTTTTAAACTTTTAATAATATCGCCCGTTAAAAGAGAAGCAAATGCAATTGAACCTTGATCACCATTAGTGCTGAAACACAGGGTTTACAAGTACCACTGCACAAGGACATTTTATCAGCTGCATAATTTTCTCTGGCCTGGTGAGACAACTATTTCATCTTCTCATGTTCAGTTAAATAAAAGGACATCAGCATAGAAGCCAAGTTCTACTGCATTGGAATTCTTAGGGTTTGATATTGGTACATGGGCAGTGGACCAAGTTGTGTGGAGGTACTACTTATTAGTTAGGTGGGACCAAGGTTCAAAATTTTTTTACTATCGGCTGATGCATATCTTATCTTTGAGGTTTTGGCACAGGAAACGGTACCAAATCCTTAGTGTTGTTCCTCATCGTCGTGCCGGAAGCGTATCAGTCTATTTTAGTGCTGTATCGACCGATATACTAGTGTATTGGTTGATACAATGCAATTTTACTGTTGCAAAAAATAAAAAAAAAATCACTTGAAAGAGAGCTTTTAAACCCATTTCAGAAGCCCTATTTTTTCCCCAAACCTTCTAGAAACCTTCATACAATTCCTAGATATTAAAATCTAGCCAAAATCCACCAAAACATCCACAAATTTGCAAGATCCAACAAGTTTTTCAAGATTGTTAAAAAAGAGCGAAAATATGTTTTTTTTTTCAATTTTTTTTTACAATTTCATCCAATGTTTTTGTATTTTTTAGTTTGAATGCTTAGAAACATCTTTGTGTATGTTGATATGTTATTCTTGTGCAAAAAAGCCCACTTATTTTGCTCATATATGTAGATCTTTGTGAATATTTGAAGAAATTCTAGAATAGTAAAAAATTTGAAAAAATAAATGAAAATTTTAGGTTTTTCTTGTTATCCATCTCTAAAAATTGATTATGTTGCATATCTATGGATGATCTACCATGTCCATAGATCAATTGAAATTTCTTGTAAATAATTGATTTTTTAATTTTCAGAATAATATATAATATATAGATAATTTCTTCAATTTTATGTGATCTAACCCTATAGGTTGAGTATGTTGTAGAGCTAAGACCGGCATCAATATATTGAAATACCATGTGAAAAGTTTAATTTTTATTTATAGATTATAAATATTTATTTATTTCTCTAATTTTTTGCTATGATTTAAATTCTAATAATAAATATTTACAATAAATATTCGGATGATCTATTATGTCCATAAGCCCATTCAATTTTTCTGTTACATATTTACTTTTTAAATCTTAGTTTAATTTTTAGAATAAAACATGCAAAATAATTATTTGAATAAAAATAAATAATTATTTAGTTTTTGAAATGAAACATGCAAAATAAGTATTTCAACTATTATGTCCATAAATCCATTCAATTTTTCTGTTACATATTTACTTTTTTAATTTTAATTTAATTTTCAGAATAAGATATGCAAAATAATTATATGAATAAAAAATAAATAATTATTTAATTTTTAGAATGAAAATAATTATTAATTTTAGAATAAAAATAATAGATGCCCATGAAGCCATTCAAAAAAATATTTGTTTATTTTTTAGAATAAAACATGTAAATTAATTATTTGAATAAAAATAATTAATTATTTAAAAAATAAAGAAAAAATGTTTGATTCAATAATTACAATTTTTATATAATTATTTGATTCAATAATTGTTAATTGTTTAATTGGATTAGATAACACTTGGCAAAACTTTTAAACCAATTAAAAAGAATTTTTAGTGATATATATCTATACTACCTATAAAAGAGTGAATGCCCCTTCTTTCTGAAATTTTCATTGGACATTTTCTATCCCTCTTGTCTAAACATACAATGGGCATAAAAAGGGCATATATGCCATTTACTCTCATATTAGAAACTACCCACTTATAACTATTTAGAAACTGTCCATGAATTATAAATAGTTTTGTCTTAGAGATATTGCCACATGAAAATGTACATATATGTTTATTAGTATTTAAAAAATATAGAATAAAAGGCATTGATATATTTCACACGATAATCTATAATTTGAATGTAAATATAATTGTGGCCTCAAAAATATGAAAACAATTATTATTTGTTTAATTGGATACTTGTATTAGATAATAATTGAAAAAATATATATATTTAAAAAAATCATAATAACAATTGAAAATTAGTTTACTAACACATTAACAC